TAAACGTGTTTTATCGGTACCGGAGCTCTGCTAACATGCACAGGGTTAGGTTTAGGGTGATAAATAAAAATACTAATACGGGAATTTAAAAAATTAATCTGAAGCTTCACTTGTTCAGACTTGACGAAGCAGCTCTTAAGTCTGTTTGTTTTATTTAACGTCGAGACTTTACGCTGCAGAGTTCAGAGGATTAAATCTACAACAGCGAATTAATCTGAATAATTTGTGTTTTCTGACTTGAGAGCAGCAGAAAGCTTCTCAACAATTCGATATAATTTCCAGCATTACTTTCTACTTTTGTCTTTAAATCGTGTTTCAGCTTCATCGTGTTATTTTATTGATGTATCGTACTTTTAAGCACTTTTTATTCACTGCATTTCTTATGGTCCGTCTTTTTTTTCCTCTTTTCTGAGCATCTGGCAAAAGAATTTATTCACAATTATTAAGGTTTTAGCTTTAAATGTAGAAAAACTGTGTGTTTGACGATGAAACGAGCTGCTAATCGTAGCCGTAACGTGGTTTTAACGCGTGCAGATGCAGTTTATCAGCGTTCTGGACCAAAAATGACACAAAACTGTATTTTAAACAGTTAATTTTGCACATTTCTCCCAAATATTGAACCTCCAGCAGTGAATGAATCTGAACAGTTCTGCAGAAAACGTCCTAAAACGAATCCGATCTGTGTGTTTGACGATGAAACGAGCTGCTAATTGGCGCCGTAACGTGGTTTTAACGTGTGCAGATGCAGTTCATCGACGCGCTGGACGGCCAGGACCTGCTGCTGACCGGCGAGGTGAAGTGGCGCCCCCTGGTGGAGGAGAACGCTCAGAGCATCCTGAAGGTGGTGCGACCCACCTACAACGATGCTGGACTGTGAGGCCCAGACTTCCTGCTTCACTCCTTCCTCCTCTGTAGCCTCCTTCCCTCCTTCCCTCCTTCCCACCTGCTTCCTGTTTTAAGTTTGACTCGTAGCTTCTGTTTCTGAGCTTCATAGACGGTCAGGGATCATGACTTCACACCTTTATAGCAAAAAAACAAAAAAAGAAACGCCGCCACGCACCGCCGCCGTCGTCGTCCTCCTCGTCGGGCCTCTCCCTCAACGCAGACGCTCTGTATTTATATGTCCTCGTTTCTTTTCACACGCTGTATTTATAAACTATTTTGTACGTCAGCCGAGACTTCCGCTCCGTCACTGTGTTTTAAATAAAGTTTGGCGGCTCGGCGTCGGCGGGGTCAGCGGAGGTTAGCGGCCGCGGCGTTTCGTTTGTCCGGTTCTCAGGACGCTCTCAGGCTTGAACGGGAAGCTGAGCCCCACAAAAAACCCCCAAATGTTTTTAAGAAGTGATGAATAAAGTGTTCTCTGGATCTACAGACTCCCCGTCTTCCTGTTTTTATTCGTGTTCTGCTCAGAGGACGCTAGTTAGCCGTGCTAGCCTGCTAGCGTTAGCATTCCACTGCTAACTTGCTGACGTAAGAATGGCTGCATGATGCTTTCAGGGATTTTCTCTCATTCATCTTTTCTTCTAACGTGATAAATATGAGTAGAAACGCTCCTGGAGGCTCTTTGTTGCTCAGGTTTAGCAGCAACGAGGCGTTTTGATGAAGATGTGACTGCTTTAGGAGCCGAATCAGGCAAAGATCTGCCACCAGAGGCTCTGATTAAAGGCGTAGGTTTGATCTTTGCTCAGACAAGCTGAGCAGGAGACACAAACGGCTCAGCCAGAGATTAGTTAGAGAATCAGGACGTTCGATCTTAAAGATGATTCGGTTCTAAAGTGAAACCGAATCTGGACAGTTGAAGATGTTAAAATGTGAGTTTTCATCCAAGTTTGACTAAAACTTCACCTAAATTTTGACTAAAAACTGCAAAAGACGCCCGTTTCTGTCCGTCACTGTCGTGTGTGTGCGTTGGTTTGTCAGCAGGTGGCGCCGCTTCGTCCCTCGACGCCTTTAAACGACTGCAGAGGAAGAAAATACAACAACAACAACAACAACAACAACAACAACAATGTTCCAAATGAAGGAAAGCAGGCGGGAAGTTTGAAACGACTTTTTGTTCTTCAGCTCGTTTAATTTGGGATTAAAATGAACCAGATGTTAAATAAAAGAGTTTCAGCTTTGATCTGATCAGATTCACATTAATGCAGGAAGAAGCTGAAACACACGATGAGGAAGAGTTCTGCTGTTTAATGCTGATGTGAAGTTAAAATGCAGCTTCCATCATAATCACCGACCAGATCATTAAAACGACGCCTGTAGTTTATCAAATGAGCCTCCAGCTGCTGGAAAAGTCGCTTCAGTTCATGTTTTTAACTGAAAAATTGTGAGATAAAGCATAAAAATTTTAAATAAATATTGAAATAAAAACTTAAAATTGTGACGCGATGGAACAAACTTCCAACTTGTCAAGTCAAAAACATGGAAATAAAAAGTTTGAGATGAATAAATAAAATCATTTATGCAATAAATGTTTTAGTCACTGACTTTTCTAATATTTATCTTTTACTGGTATTAATGGGCTCCTGTATTTTATTTCATTTTATTGACGCGTATTAACAGATAAAGTGTCAAAATTATTATTCATTCATTCAGATTTATTTCCCAAAATAATTTTAAAATTAAAGAAATTTAGCATCTCAACATGTTCAGTCTTATTTGATTTATTTTCCTTTATTAGAATAAATCTGCTTCCATGTTTCTCTACATTTTATTGAGTTATTAAACTTTACAAATGTATTAAATATTAAATTATGAGACAAGAATGAGATAAAACTTTCATTTTTTAAAAACTTTTCTACTCTGTTATATATATCTTACACACTCTGTTTCTGTATTTTACGTCTATTTTGCTCTTATTTTATTGTACTTATTATTTATTTGGCTTTTTCTTTAAAAAACAGGACCTGAGTACAGATTTCAAACACGTGAATGTGAGCCGGCGCGACGAATAAAGTTCCTTGAATCCTTGAATCCTTGAATCCTAAACCAGGACGACGTCTCTTCCAGCTGCTGCGTTTTTGGGAACAAATAGAAAAACATATATGTTCAGTTTATTTCCTGCTGAAGCTGCTGGAGGCTCCGGTTCAAACTCAAACTGCTGTTTTCTCTATAATCTGAAGTGAGTTTCCTGCTGCAGCGCCATCGCTCGGCCTGAGGGGGGCGCCACACTCCTGGTTAATGTGGACCAGTGAGGCTTCGGTCTGACAAATAATAATCATCATTTACACTGAATTAATGTAGATTTAATGTGTCTTTTATCGAAGCCTCTTTATTTAACTGTAATAATAATAAAATAAAAAAAATAATATTCTTTGTCTAAAACCTTCATTTTGTACAGAAAACAGATAAAATATTTACATTTAAAACGACTAAAAAATATTTTATCGACACTTTATTGCGTTCAAAGACATTTTTGTTATTGTCTTCACATCTTTTTGTGGTTGATTTTTGTTTCTTCCAGTTGCTTTCGCATGTCATGCTTATGTCCTTCCAACCCGGTCTCACAGCAACTAGTGAAATAGTCACAAAACTTAATCTAAAAATCTAGAAATTTTAATTTCACCTATATATATCAATTTCATTCGTAAAGTCAGTCCAAATAAACACGTTCCTCATCAGTTTAAACCCCTAAATGCATTTAAAGTTTTATATTTCACCCTCCATTTGGGAGAATAGGCTATTTTGAAGAAAGAACTACAACTTCCAGTACCACTACAATACAACCTGATGGGACACGCCATGACATTTGTAGTTCTTCTTGGGGTTTACGACTAGGCTTGTGTTTTTGTATTAATAAACTAAAATAAAAGGACTGAAGTTCTGTCTGATGGGGAAAAAACGTGGCCCAGACACCAAAGATAGTTCTGATTGATATGTATTGGTTTGAAATTCGTGCTGGGAAACATGAAGAAGCAAATCGTGACCCAGAACACCAAACAACAGATTAAGTTTCATGACTGTTTCAGGAACTGCCGTGAGACTGGGTTGGTTCTTTAGAGGTGCGTTTTGCATCTTTTCATGGTTTTGCATCTCTTTGTGGTCTTTTTGCATCTTTTAAGCATCTTTTTATGGTTTTTTTTCATGTTTTAATGCTGTTTTTGCATCTTTTTGTGGTAGATTTTTGTTTTTTCCAGTTGGTTTTTGCATCTTTTCTTGCTGATATGCATCTTTGTTGTGCTTTTGCATGTTTTTTTGGGTTGTTTTTTCTTTTCATGCTGTTTTTGCGTCTCTTTGTGGTGGTTTTGTGTCTGTGTTGAACCACATCCGAACACCTACGACTGCTTTGGGTCTCATCAGCTCTTATTGGTTGTGAGAGGAGGCGTTCGTGCTCCACAGAGGATGAACCGCTGTGTTCACAGTTCTTCTCTGCAGCGAGCTCTAGTCCAACAGTCGGTTCTTTGTCTCTGATGGAAACATTTTCCAAAGTAAGAACTGAAGCAGAGAGCTGACTTGTGTCTGTGTGGAAACAGGAAGTGGTTCCTGAGTCACTCGTCCCTCAGCGTTCGTCTCCTGGACGCTCGTCTTCAGTCACATGAACTGAACTCAGATCCTTTCAGTTAAAACCACCTCAGAGACACAAACAGAGGCTCAGAGGAACTGAAACCTGGTCTGTTTTGACTCTTTGACTGTTTTACAGCCGAACAAACCTTCAGATGAATTAAATCATCTTTAAATCTAAAGCTTCACTTCTTCAGACCGGTTCCTGTAGTTGTTGTAGTGCTTTTACATCTTTCAGTGGTTGTTTTGCATCTTCTTGTTTTCTTTTGTTGTTGTTGTTTTAGTGGTGGTTTTACTTCTTTTAATGTCTTTTGTTGCTTTTAGAGGCAATTTAGCATCTTCTTGTGGTTGTTTTACATCTTTCTGTTGGTGTTTTCATGTTTTTGAGTTTGTTTTGTGGTTGTTTTGCATATTTTTGGTCATTTTTTCTTTGTTCTGGTTGTTGTAGTGGTGGTGTTACATCTTTTTATGTCTCTTCTTCCTTTTAGAGGTTGTTTTGCATCTTTCTGTTGTTTTTTTCATGTTTTTTTTTTGTTTTTGCATATTTTTGTAGTTGTTTTTTGTCTTTGTTTTATTTTTTTTAGAGCTGGTTTTTCATCTTTTTGTGTCTTTTCTTCCTTTTACAGGTTGTTTTGCATCTTTCCGTTGTTTTGTTTTCATGGTTTTGTGTTTGTTTTTGCAACTTTTTTGTAGTTGTGTTGCATCTTTTTGTGATTGTTTTGCATCTTTTTATGATTCTTTTGCATATTTTTGTTGTTTTTGGTCATTTTGTCTTTGTTTTGGTTGTTTAATGGTGGTTTTACATCTTTTTATATCTTGTTGCTTTTAGAGATAGTTTTGCATCTTTCTGTTGTTGTTTTTTCATGCTTTTCTATTGCTTTTGCATCTCTTTGCTGTTATTTCACATCCTCTTGAGGTTGTTTTGCACCTTTTGTAATAGTTTTGCATCTTTTTGTCATCATTTTGCACATTTTGTTTGTTAGCAGATCAAATCTAAATGTAAGTTGTATTTTTTCCGTGACCAACGCGCTCCTTTAAGTTTTTAATCTGTAGGAACGTTGAACTGATGTGTGGGAGGACTGAGGATCGATTGTGTTCGGTTTATTAAAGTTTCCAGCAGAAGGAGGAGACTGGCGGTGATGGAGGCCGTGAGGCGTCTGCTCAGCTCTCAACATCTGCAGCTTCATGCGTTTCCATCCTGATGAAACCTGATCGGAGCTGAAGCAGGAAGAACTCAGCGATCAGATAAAAACTCGTGTTCCACATTCACACACAGCGACGCACAAAGACGGACTTTGGACAAACTGGTTCCTCCGTCAAAGGAAACAAAAGTGAATTTAACCCTCGAACCGTCCCCCGTTATGCGCTCTAATGCTAATGACACAGCATGAGGTCTGACTGAATGAATGAAGCTGCAGATCCGTTGGTTTTGTCTCATCTTAGTTGCTTTCTGTCTCTTTGTCATCATTTTGCTTTTCTTTGGTTGTTTTTGTCCTGTTTTGTCTCCAGGTTGTCGTTTTTTTTGTCTGTTTTCTTTTGTTTTGTGTCTCGTTTTCTTTATTTTATGTCACTTTGGGACACTTTTGCCTCTTTGTGTTT